TAAGTGTAATATCATGCCATAATCATACCATGGACTATTTGTGGTATAATATAATGTGTTAGCAAGGAACTACTTAATAAGGACACTAACATTAAGTGCTCCATTACAGGCATACAGAAAAAACAATGGACAAGGGCAAAAACAGAATTTGTCTTAAACAATACTCTCTTCACATGTAACATCTCAAGTGGATCATAGATGAAGTGTTTTCAGTATCCTCTGAACACAGGCCTCCAAAAGTTGTACGCCTTCTTCCAAGAAAGAAAAACGAAGGAACTTAGTGGATGATGTCTGGATAAGTGATTCATTACAACAGTAAATAAAGGGAATGATATTGTATGACTATTGAAATTTAAAGGATCTATTTTCCTATATCTACCATGATCTGGCACATTATCGGACCTAATTAATCCATCTGGTGGTTAAACTGGTAACTACTTTTTGGCACGTTGTTATTGGTTACTGCTGTATGTCATCTTGTTATTTTCCTTAGGGAGCTTAAATCAGACGCCAAAATATGATATGCATATTATTTTCTAGCCAAGATGACTGATAATGTACAGGGTGACCCAAAAAAATGCAACCCTCCATTTCTTCAATATTTTTCTTAAATGAAGGTTAATTGCTCTGAAATTTGGCGCACAAGAACTTCATTCAATGTGGGATCCTCTGGCAAAGTTTCAATAATCATAGTCTTATATTGATAGAGTTATGGTCGTTCCAAAATATGCTCCAAATATCGTCCAGTTCCAATGTTAAGTTTTCGGATGAATCACATTCCCTTCTTTCTGAACATGTAAACTCAAGAAATAATATGTTCTGGGATCAAAAATTCCAGATGAAGTGCTTTAAAGGCCCCTTCATTCTGTTAAATGCACAGCTTGGGCTGCCAATTTCCAAACATGAAATCATCAGCCCCTTTTGGTTTGAGGTTGATAATGGCAACACTGTTACTGTTAACACACAGCGCAATATTGGCGTTCCCAGGAAGTTCTAGGCAGTTCTAGAGTGACATAGATGCTTTAAAGACAAGAACAGTGGTTCTAGAAGGATGGAGCTACTCCTCACACTTCTAATGATAGCATAGCCTGGCTCACTAGTCATTTCTATGAGAAGATTATCTCTCCTAGGACTGAGAACACATGGTCATCCCACAGTCTTGATCTCAATGCCCTTGACTTCTATATACGGGGTTATTTAGAGGATAATGTGTATGAAAATAACCCTACCGCAATTGCAGAACTCCCAACAAGCAATGGCTGCAAAAATTTGAGCCATACCCATGGGGAAAATGCATCCGTGTTATGAACAGTTTTCGTTGAACATTGCAAGTTTGTTTTCAGCGAAATTGACGACATCTGGAGCATATTTTGAAACAAGCATAACTCTATCAATATAAGACTATGATTATTAAAACTTTGCCGGAGGATCCCACATTGAATGAAGTCCTTGTGTGCCAAATCTCAGAGCAATTTACCTCCATTTAAGAAAACTATTGAAGAAATGGAGGGTTGCATTTTTTTTGGGTCACCCTGTATATACCCAGTAACATAATTTTACTGGTTGGGACTCACTCAGCCAGTTTTCTTCTGAAATAATGAGGATTTCATGATATCCCCATGAAAATAAAATGGGGATATGATGATATCCCCATATTAAGTCAATGGTGCCTAACCCCATGTTAAATAAATCAATATAACATTGTTGAACTCCCTATTTCTCAGAAGAACACTAGCTGGTTTGGCCTCAACCAGTAAAATTATGTTACTGAACATATCTTAAATCTCAATTTGGTAAAATAGGCGCTTAAAAACAGGGGATTCCACTTAGTTTTGAAAGATTTTGGTTACTTCTATAACATTCAAGTTGGGTATATGACACTTCTAAGTATTGTTTTCAAGTGATATGTTTATTCAATAAAGCGACAGCAATAAGTACCAGTGCATGCATATTATCAACATTGTTTATTACCCATGGAGGATTTCATGTCATAAAATAATACACTTAATACCACTTAACCATAAAAATGTCACTTGTTTTATTATTTTAACACTTTTTTAAGTGAAGTCCCATACTCAAAGCATACTTCACTACAATACTTTCAAAGCTGGTTCATTTGATTTCATTTTCAGTTCAACTGCATTGGAGTGTAAGGGAGCATCTCAAAAGTTTGATGTTTGATAACTAACTGTTTTTTAACAACTAATTTGTGACCCCCTCCCTCCCTCTGATAACTGTGTTAGAGAAATGTTTGAGGTTATTAACCCCCTCCCCTCAAAAACAGTTTATTTTCTGTCATTGGTCTTTTGGAATGATCCCTTAGTATACTTAAGCACCTTACAAACACCTTGATACCTAACAAATTTTAAAGAATATAGAGTTGAATGAAAATTTTAAAAAAAACATTCTAAAATCCATGATGCCTAATATTTCTTCTAAGTCAGAAATAGGCCCAGTTCTTCATCAGAAAGTTGTTCAAATTTTTCTATACTATAAGCAATAGATGGTTAATTGTTTCTGGTAAGGGTGACCCAAAAAATGCAACCCTCCATTTTTCGAATATTTTTCTTAAATGGAGGTTAATTGCTCTGACATTTGGCACACAAGAACCTCATTCAATGTGGGATCCTCTGGCAAAGTTTCAATAATCATAGTCTTATATTGATAGAGTTATGTTCGTTCCAAAATATGCTCCAAATGTCGTCCATTTCCAATATTAGGTTTTCGGATGAATCACATTCCCTTCTTTCTGAACATGTAAACTCAAGAAATAATGTGTTCTGGGATCACAAATTCCAGATCAAGTGCTTCACAGGCCTCTACATTCTGTTAAATGCACAGCTTGGGCTGCCAATGTCCAAACATAAATCATCTGCCCCTATTGGTTTGAGGTTGATAATGGCAACACTGTTACTGTTAACACACAGCGCAATATTGGCGTTCCCAGGAAGTTCTAGGCAGTTCTAGAGTGACATAGAGGCTTCAATAGACAAGAACAGTGGTTCTAGAAAGATGGAGCTACTCTTCACACTTCTAATGATAGCATAGCCTGGCTCACTAGTCATTTCTATGAGAAGATTATCTCTCCTAGGACGGAGGACCCATGGTCATCCCACAGTCTTGATCTCAATGCCCCTGACTTCTATATACGGGGTTATTTAAAGGATAATGTGTATGAAAATAACCCTACCGCAATTGCAGAACTCCAATAAGCAATGGCTGCAAAAATTTGAGCCATACCCATCGGGAAGAATGCATACGTGTTATGAACAGTTTTCCTTGAACATTGCAAGTTTGTTTTCAGCAAAATTGACGACATCTGAAGCATATTTTGAAACAACCATAACTCTATCAATATAAAACTATGATTATTAAAACTTTGCCAAAGGATCCCACATAGAATGAAGTCCTTGTGTGCCAAATCTCAGAGCAATTTCCTTCAATTTAAGAAAAATATTGACGAAATGGAGGGTTGCATTTTTTTGGGTCACCCTGTAATTGAAACCCTCTAGCCTCTACCACACAATCTTAACTAAAAAAAACAGCAACTCCAGGGAGTGACATCTTGAAAATTTGGCAGTAATTTTGAAAATTTCCTCTAGACCAAATTTCATTTGTACCTAGGAATTAACATATAAGATTGGAACCAAATCTGTTCACTGGTCTTTTTTACAAAAACTGGCAGCAACTTTGAAATACAGTAGCCATCTTAAAAATTCTTCCTAGAACAAAGCTAGTGTGTCCCTAGTCAATCCATATGTATCAGCATATAAAATTGAACCTAATCTGTTCACTCCAATATTTGAGTTATTAAAGATTATATTTTTTTAAATGGCAGCCATCTTGAAGTTCAGGTGCCATCTTGAAAATTATTTGTCAAACAGAGCTACTGTGGCCATAAGCATCAGCATATTAAATTTGAACCAAATAGATTCACTGGTATTCGAGTTATCAAAGATTACGTTTTCTTACAAAAGATGATGGCAATTTGAAATATAGTGGCCATCTTGAAAATCGCTTCTTGAGCAAAACTCCTTTGTCTCTAGGAATCAGCCTATACAATTTGAACCAAATTAGTCAACTAGTATATCAAAGATTACATTTTTTTATGAAAAATGGTGGCTATTTTGAATTGAGTGGCCATATCAAAAATTCTTTCTTGAGCAGAGGTCGTAGACCAATAATGCATAAGCCTATAAAATTGTAATCAAATCCTTCAACTGGTGTTTGAGTTATTGCCTGGACAGACAAATGGATGGACGGATGGACGAACAGACGTACGGACAAACGGACAGCTTTTCTATATCCCCCACAAACTTCGTTCAGTGGGATAATTACAACGTGATGGTCATACAAATGTTGAAATTATTATGAAATAAAAATATAAGTATGTGCTTTCAGTTGTCAGTTTATTTGTTAACTCTCTAGATTTATATCTCTCTTGCTATTTTAGAAGTTCCTATAAATTGAACGAAAGATTTAGACTTGATTAAGAGAAATATTAAACTCATACAACAGCCAAAATAAACATTTAAATTCTGTTCATGTCATGGATTCTAAAGAAGCAAATACTTTGCCAAGATGAATGTGTCAATGAAATAAAGACGCTTGCATGTGAAGGCATATTAGGCAATAGCGAAATAAAGTACGAAATAAATGGAGAGCTGAAATTGAAGGAAACAAACAGTAAAAATTGAATTGATTATGCCAAATATACTTTTTAGTGTCAGGTATGTAATACTTTTGCAAGTGCTGGTGGCTATTTAACATGGAAAAGATATTGTGAATGTTGTTTTAGAATAAGAAAAGTGTCACTAACTGTGAAACATGGAGAAGAGATTGACACTTTGTGCTCAAGATATATATGATCATTCAAATGTGACCAATTAAGAAATACAGGATCATAGAAACTTTATAAAGAATGTTGAAGATGAGAAAAGTCTATATCAGTAATGAGGAAAATAATGTGACCCGACTTTCATTTGCTACTTTTTTTTATAATGATGATGATACTGGTGATAGCCATTCTCTTTCTTATTACTGTTGTTTTAACTATTATTTGGCAAGTTCTTACACAAATATGTACATATAAGAACTATGACGCTGAAAAGTACAAACATAGAGACTTTACAGAGAATGTTGTAGAAGTTATCCCAAGTGTTGCTAACAGTGAAACATGCAAGGAAAAGAGGTTGACACTTTGTGCGGAAGAAATAGCTGATTGTATAAAGGTGAACTATGAAGATGAAGAAGTACAGGAACACAAGGACTTTATAGAGAATGTTGTAGATGTTGTCTCAGAAACAGTGGGCTGGAGAAATCCTGAATTTAAAACTCATCCTAAACTACCAAATGGAAGTTTCTATCAAGAAACAAAAGTTGAAATTCCGAATGAGTTTGACTTTTTAAATCCATTAAATATTTCTACAGAAATCAGAGCAGGAGTACAAAATACTAAACAAGTCTTTATTGACAAAAAAAAGTATCCTAGATTCAAAAATAAATATGACTATAGTGATTTTTTAAGTCTATCAAGTTATCCTCAAGAAATTGTAAAGCAAGGCATGGAGGAACTCCATCCATATGATAATATTCTTAAACAACTACAGAGAGCTGTCTCTGAAGCTTTAGATATGCTACAAGGAAAAACCAGAACAATCGGACAATTCGAAATGCGAAGGATACCCAATGGATGTGAAAATTGGTCATATAGTCTCGAGAATAATCTCATAAGCAGACTGCTGTACAGAGGAAAGCGATTTGTTTACAAAGGTCAATGTGACCTCAAGGCCAGTAAAAGGGAATTTTCAGATTCAAAGAATGCGGACCCAAGGACACTGGGACTCAATGAAGCATTACTAGATACCAATACTGATGGACCATGTATAACCCTAGCTATCGGTGGCCCACTCTGTGTGACATACATGGATATGACATTATGTATAGAAGACAAACAGGAGAGTAAACAGAGGAGAAACGGGGGAAAATACTTTGTTCTGCCTAGGAAAAACTTGGATGCGTGGATGCGTACTGAATATAAACCTGGGAACAAAGAACTTGACAAACATCACAGAAAGATCTTGATGATTCTCAAATACTGCTTAATTGAGTGTAAAAAATATCAATATCGATCAAAATACAATTCCCATGTATTAAAGACTCTTGTCCTCAACCACCGTGACAAATGTAAAGGTAGAACATTACTAGGGAGGTGTTTCGATGATGTATCTCAAAAAGTATTCAGACTTGGAATTGAGAGTGATGAAGCAAATAGTGAAAATCTAATCATATGTTCAAAGTGGTTGAAAAGTCTTCCCAATGTTGGCTATCCTGGTGGTGATGTTATTGAACAATCAGATGATCTGAAGCCTTGTGACATATTATTCACACTTGTACTCTACATTCTAGTAGAGTTCATGAAATCTTCCCCAGAGGCTGTCGACTTGCTACATACCAGAGAGGCTCTGTCTATTTGTCTACAATTGATCTGTAAATACAGCATGCAGTTGACAGACATTCATATTACCAGTGACTCTGAGTTAAAATATACTAGCAATATTACAATGACATGCATTAATGATTGCATCAGCCAACTTAGAGATCTGAGACACAAAGGCAATGAACTCAACATTCTCTTATCCTCTCCTCCATTTCCTTATGAACCATATTGGCCTGACCCTAACAACCCTATTTGTATCAGTCTGGCAGGGGATGTCGAGATAATATCCAAGGATAAAATGTTGGAAGAGTGGGACAAGTGGAAGAATTTGATTACGAAGAATCTAGAATATGAGAAACAAAGTAACACACATCAAGGAGAATTAAGACGCCAGGAGGAGATTAAACTTAAAGAAGAAATTAAAGTTCGGGAGGAGATGAAAGAAGAGGTGAATAGACAGGAGAGGATTAGATGGGAGGAGATCAGACAGGAGGTGATCAGTCAGGAGAAAATCATAAAGAAGAACATAGAGTATAACTTCATAAAAGTGGATATTGATATCATAGTGAGGAAGATCATGGAGGAGTACAAACAAGTGATGGGAAATGAAAAGGATATACAGGAGGATATCAGACATGAGATCATAAATGAGATGAGGAGACAGGATATGATCAGACAGGAGGTGATCAGACAGGAGAAGATCATACAAGAGGAGAACATAGAGTATAACTTCATAAAAGTGGATATTGATATCATAGTGAGGAAGATCATGGAGAAGTACAAACAAGTGATGGGAGATGAAAAGGACATACAGGAGGTGATCAGGGAGAAGATCATGAAGAACACAAGAAGAAGAACACAAGAAGAACACAGGAACACAAGGCATAGGTCCATAGAGGCATATTTTGAAGAGAGGAATATCATAGAGAACAAAAGGATATATGAAAAGGATATACAGAAGGATGTCAGACATGAAATCATAAAGGAAATGAGGAGACAGGAGATGATCAGACAGGAGGTGATCAGACAGACAAAGATCATAAAGAAGGAGAACATACAGTATAGCTCCATAAAGGTAATTGATATCATAGCGAGGGAAATCATGGAGAAGTACAAAGAAGTAATGGGAGATGAAAAGGATATACAGAAGGATGTCAGACATGAAATCATAAAGGGATTGAGGAGACAGGAGATGATCAGACAGAAGGTGGCTTTAAATCAAAAATCACATGAACAGGAAAAAGAATGGCTCAACATGGAGACAAAAAGGAAAGCATCATGCTATGGTATGAAACATAGTAACACTTTTTACAACAGAGAGACATTAAAAAGAACAAAATCAAAACCTTTAAAAACAGATCAATTAAAATGCAACATAAGTCGACATCACAAAAGAAAAGCAAATTGTAAAATGAAATTGGATTTCAATAAATCAGACAGAAAAATGAACTCAACATTTAAACTGAAGAAGAAATCGGAGAGTAGAAATCAAGCAGGAGGTAAGAAGTCAGGTGGTGGAAGAAGAAACATAATGAAAGCAAATATAAGGAGAACATTACATGAGGGAATGTAAAAAACAGACAATTACTAAGTGCAGTTATGTAACAAGTGACTAAATATAGAGATCTGATGACATGAAATTTTACAAAACATGGTAAGAAAATAAACACCTAAGAGGATATCCAGACTATGCCAGGATAGAGCATAAACAATAGTAGGACTATAGCAACAAGAAAGATAATTAATATACTGACATTCATTTAACGTAGCAAATGATATATTGACAATAGCTAAGAGAGGATCCCATGACAACACCATTCAACAAACAGATGTGATGTTTTCATGGTAGGTAGCCTGTTTTACGGGATATTTTATAATGAACCAGTAAATAGTTCATACTTGAATTTTGTAAAATTCTTATATTTATCTATAAAAAAATACTGACAATATACATGTTTTTGGGAAATTTATTTTGTAAGGGATGTCTTTGAGTGATATACATGAGCTACAAGATGGCAGATTTATGTGATCTGTTTGCAACGCCTCCTACACAAGCAGCCAATTGTGTCAATGTCAGTGAATAATTTTGTTGGTGTAATAAACGATGGCCACTTCACGTCTGGTATTCACGTGATAATGACATTCTCTTTGGTAAGTAGCCCTTTATCATTATATACAAATGGGCATGGGAGGTTGTTAATATAAATCATTTTAAGACTTTATTTAACATTTTATTCGCTAATGTCTCTTAAAAGACGAGTTAAACTGTTTTGATAAATGTGCAGATAATGTCAACTTACAACAATTGCTGATAAATGGGTACAAAGTACAAGTAGCAAAGGGGTTGGACAACAAAGTATTACAAAACACTGTAATGACAAAACAAAAAATACTCATAAGACAAAACTAATATGAACACACAAATGTTGAACCAGCCCCTCCCTGTCAAACAGTTTTTGTAATTTCTTCCAGGTAGAGGCAGATTTGGATGACATTACAGTCTCTCATTTAATGTCATCACGCCAAGATGTTTTGACAATAAGGAATATTTAGTATCATCTTCAGAACAACAATTACTCAACACGTACTAAGCTTGGATAATATGATGGACCCCAGTGATCTCCCCAGCATTGAAGCAAGTGGGTGCAGCACCCACCTGAGATTTTAAAAACAGGCTTGCACCCAACTGAAAATCTATTTGCATCCACTTGAAAATGAGAAAAATCATGGAAATTAGGCATATTTTGACCAAATTTGGTTTAAATTGTGAAATTCAGAATTTTTGCACCCACTTGAGATAAAATCCTGGAGAGATCACTGGACTGTTTGCAGAATAATGAGTTTGCAAGGAACTACTCTGCTAGGTGTGCTATTGACTGTTGTACCAAATGACCCACAAATGTCAAGTTATCGTTTAGATTTGAGAGTTGTAAATCAGCGGTTATTGAATGATGAACAACATCAGATTGGTATATCTAACCATAAAGGACTTTAATTGATTTATTTGATATTATTTTGAATTCTTTGTACAAATGTTTACAAGAACACATTTGATTATCACATCTGTTTTCTTGTATTTAACTTTCAAGGATATCAAATATCAGAATTGTAAACCTGTTATTGTTTATAGATCACAATCTGCATGTTCAGAAGAAATCCTTCATGATATGATGATAAATTTCACATTTATCCACTTGGAAGGAAATATATTACTATGTAACATTTGTCAGCTTTTTCCGTGTAAAATATGGTACTAGCTGACCAGAACTACACATTGCAGCCATATAAAGGGTGGACCAAAAAATGTTAATATTTTTTTTTGATTTTCTTTGTAAGATGTATTGATTTCAATATAATGTTCAGAGGGGATGCAGAAATCACTTTTGCAATTGTTTGAGTTATACCCCAAAAAAATATGGACATTTTTTAGCTCACATTGTATATATACTCTAGGGGCGAGGAGGGAAATTCTCAATAAATGGAGTATAGTTGGTTTGACAGCATTTTCAGTTAGGGGAGAGTCTTGGATGAAATTTCCACCTAGGTGATAGCTTCACAGAGTGGTAGGAAGTTCTTTTTTTTGAAGAGTTAGCCCCCTACCCAACAAAAACACCCCACCCGGGGGAAAAATTTTGTTCACACTAAATAACCTTAGATATTTTGATGTTTGTAAGTGACATACATAGATATTATATATATGAATCATTTGCAGTATTATTGATGCTGATTACTCCTAAAAAAAAAGAATATTAGTACAAAGTGTGTACCCCAGGGGGCAAATTCGTGACCCATTTCCTTACTATTTTGATCCTAACTTTTCAACTAGACACTGTAAGAGGTTGAAAAAATTCACGTGAAGTGCTCAATAGCAGGGTTAGTAACCCTGAAAGATGCAAAGCCATGGGAGAGGTAGGAGCTGAGAAAAAAATTGTTGATTTTTTGAAAAATTTGACATTTTTGACAGCTGGATTTTGTGTATGACTATAGCTGACCCCTATAGTTCCTGGATCCATCCCTCTATGATGATATATATGGTTTTATAGTGTGGAACTAAGATGTAAAACATAATTAAGATGGGTTTTAAGGAAGTTTAAGGTTTTAAACAAGTCCAAAATTTGAAAAATTGTAAATATAAGGTTTCAAATTTACGAATTCCAGGTAGAGCCATGGCAGACCCCTATAGTTTCTAGATCCATCCCTCTATGGTGATACTTATGGTATTGCTGTATGGAACTAATATGTAAAACACAATTTAGATGGGTTTTAAGGAAGTTTAAGGTTTTAAACAAGTTCAAAATTTGAAAAATTGTAAATATAAGGTTTCAAATTTACGAATTTCAGGTATAGCCATGGCTGACCCTTACGGTTTTTACATCCATACCTCTATGATTAAATATACAGTTTTAGAGTGTGGGACTAAGATTTAACGTACCCAAAATGAATTTCAAGAAAGTTTAAGGTTTTAAACAAGTCAAAAATTAGAAGAATTGTAAATGTAAGTTTTCAAATTCATGAATTTCAGGTATAGCCAAAGATGACCCTTATGGTTTTATTTACATCTATACCTCAGTGATGAGATATATATTTTTAGAGTATTTAACTAAAATGTAAAAGATGCATAAGATGAGTTTGAAGGAAGTTCAAGGTTTTAAACAAGTGCAAAATTTGAAAAATTGATCTCGAAAATTGGTCTCAAATACACATTATTCAGGTACAGCCTTGAATGAGCCCTGATAATCGAAGGTTATGAGCATATAGTAACAACTGTGATATCATAGCTTAGAGACCAGGTGTAGAATATATACCTGTTGCAGCAGTTAGTCTGCTGCATATAGATGGAGTGAAAAGTCATGAACTACAGTAAAATCTTTCTAATCTGAATGCTACTAGATATAGTATTTGGACCAGCTAAAAGCGTTCAAATTAGAAGTGTTTGAATTTTGAGGTTTTTACATCTGCAATATTCTGGATTTTGAAGAAATATGAATGCATTCTCAATGAAAAATATTAATAAATATTAATAATATTTATACTGACCACCCAAAAAGCTTAATAGCATTCCAAAATCCAATTCAAAAGTTTTGATATCATAACAATTCAGTGTTAAACTGACAATATTTGAGCAATTGTAAGAAATATGTGATATTTGGTAAAAAAAAAGTTCAAGTTTAACAGGTTGATTTTTCAAATATGAGTGTTCACTGTTCGAATTAAGAGGTGTTCAGATTTCAATTTTTAAACATAGGAGTCAATGGGAGGAAGGAAAAATTGAACTGGGGAAAAGTGTTCAGATTGGTTGGTTTTCAGATAAGTCAGGTGTTGGGATGATTGGTAGGTGTTCACAATAGTCAGATGTTGGGATATACAGGTTTCACTGCTGATATATCATTTATACAAGATGATGAACTAGAAATACTGTACCTAAGGTGCCTTTGATAATTTTTACCACAATGTTATACTATGTCAGGAAAAGAAAGCACCCATGACACTGTGCTTGTACAACTTGAAAATCAACAACACTTTAACATTTGATAAAGGTGTCTACCAAATGAGTAATCCACATAAATTCAAATACAAGCACTTGGCATGCTATTCCCTATGATCATTAGTTTCATTAGTTTCTCTCGAATCTAAAATTGACCTTGGGTTTATGAGAGTAGTAAATTGGAATGCAGTTATATGGAATATTGAATTGGCTGGAATTGGACACACCTTGCTTAGAAATGTGTGAGTAAACTATGATCTTATATGGATACAAACAGTTCGTTTGACAATGATCATCTATCTTATCCTGTAAAATCAGAACTTAAAAAGGGGTTTGAAATGGAGATCGATGAAACCATACCACAAATTGATAAAACTTTTGTGATTGATGCAATGGCTATGACAAAGGGAAAATGAAGATTAACTTATATGTTGAAATTTGGAGAGTTTTTGAAAGCTATATTTGACTACTTCATCAAATCTAGTAAAGGAGCCCAAAGAATAGATTTCATATTAGACTCCTAGCTAGTTGTCTCCATCAGTAAAGGATTCTGAAAGAATGCGAAGAATGGATGCTTCCCCTATTGAACTTTAATCCATAGAAGAAATAACACCATTACCTAAAAATATGAATACCTTTGTCCAAGTAATATAAGACAAATTTTCAAAGATTACAAAGAAATTCAATAAAGCAGCATTCTAAAAGTGTGCCAAATGTCAAGATTGTTTTAAGTGGAACTATTGGAGAGAACTCAAATATCTGTGAAAATGATAACTGAAATCTCCTGTTAAATTCCACTCCTGAAGAGGCTGATTTTAAAATTATTCACTCTGTTTTACATTCAGCAGAACAGGTGGGACTGCAGTAATTTGCATCAAATGACACTGATATTATAATTTTATGACTATCATTTCAATAAATGAAAAAAATTCTTCAACTATGCTAGAAAATGTCATCTGCAAAGTCAGTATGTAAACATTTTCTACAATGTCTGTTTGTTTGAAACATATTGATCATATCACCATATATACTTTTTTGATATACATGAAGATTTTAATGTGACAAGACCCTTTTACCCTAGAGTTCCT